TAGCAGCCTCCTGCATGGGGCCTCCTCTGTAGCCTGGGGGTACTAATGGGGCATCAGCACACCTGAGATCTGCCTCATCCCTTGGGCTTGTGGAAATCCCACCTGTGTCAATGCATTTGGGAAGGAAAGACCAGCGCCAGCAGGTTCCTTCTCAGGGGAGCTCTGCTCTTGTTTTCATCCCTATGTTGTAATTTTTGGTAGGAACTACCTAGAATCAACACCAGGCAATTGTCACCTCAAGATGTAGCTCCAAAAGTGGCTCTTTCCCCCCCCCCAACCTGCCCCCAGTTAGAATAGCTATTTAGCCTTTTCTCCCTTGCTGACTGCTGCAGGTAGCAGCACAGAACCTGTTTTGAATGAAGGTCTGCAGCAGGAAAGTAAAGAACTGTCTCAGAAAAATGTAACAAATATAAATGGTTTTCCCAAGCCACTATAAATGCACAGGCAGAGCTTTGCTAGGGTGACTTGTATTTTTGTGTTTATTAGCTTTGCTTTGAAGTTACCCTCTAAACACCTTGCTTTATCCTCAGTTCACCCCTGTAAAGCCCAGGACTATAATTATCCCCATTTGAAAGGTGGAAAACCAACAGAGAAATGAGGTGACTTGCCTGTGGTCAGGCAGTGACCCTGTGGCAGATGCTCACCTCCCAGTTCAGTGAGGTGACCACAAGCCCAGGCTTCCCCTTCACAGGAGAGCAGCGTGATGCAGGATGAGGAAGAGCAGCAGGAAGGTGGTTGGAAACTGGTGTGGCTCTGCTGAGCTGGCACTTTGTCCATGAGGATCTGATACTTTTACAAATCAGAGGGAACTTTATGGATGTCAATTAAACATCCAGCTGTTGAATGAAGAAGACCTTGGCCCAGAGCTTGAAGAGAGAGCCAGCTTGCCATGAGACGGCACCACTGTCCCCTTTCCCTCCCCATGCTCCCATACTTTTTGTGAAGCATCAGTTTGGAGGTATGAGCAGAGGAAAGAAAAGGGCAGCATTATTTTTGCCTTGGGTTGCAGGGTCAGTGCTTGAGATGCTGGAATAAATAGAACATCCAGCCTGGTTGTCTAAACCATAGGGTTTGGGGGATTTTGGACATTTTTTCTTTCCTTATCCCTTTCAAATACTGTCTCAGTGAGGTCAGGTGGATTTTTTTAATGTGGAATATTACACAAGGAGGGCAGTGAAAACATTAGCTTTTCCGATACTTTTACAGCAACACAACATGAAAGTGCTTTCCCTCTTAATGGGAGGAAAATGCAGTTTTATGGACTGTAAGAGACCGTGGAGCACTCAGCTTGGCCTGTGGCCATCTGGTTGAGGCTCTGGATGTGGAAATGACAAGAACAAAGTGCCTCGGCAGCCCCCGTTTTTGTGCACATCGGGCACTCATTGGGAATGGGTGCTCAGTCTGAGTTTCACACCGTGACCAGTCCTGTGGAGACTCTGGGCTGCCTCCAGGTGCAGAAAAAGAAATAGGTTTCCCATTACCTTCTGTTCAACTTAGTTTTTAAAAGTGTTACTAGATGTCTTTCAGATTAAGAGTGGGAGAAGCAGGTAAAACAGAGGCTAAGGAAAGGCATCGCTCTCTCGTTCTGTCAGCTGAAGCTACTGAAATTCCTGTGGGTACCCAGGACTGGTTTACAAGTAAACACTGCTGGAATGGATTAATAGACTTTTTTTTTTTTTTTTTCTTTTTTAATTAAGTCACAGGATGAGTACATTCTTTGAGTTTTCATAAGGGCAGTTAATAACAAAAC